GTCACTATTTCAACGTCAAGTGTTGTTTTTACCTCTATTTCTTCACACAGTTCCCTAGTACATCCTATTTCCTAGCCATAGGAACTGGTTTGAACTCGTTCGCACAACTACGCAGCTCGTGGCGCATGTTTGTGCGTTTGCTGGCCTGAATCTGTGCAAGGATAGGCCTGTGCGCAACATGTCACTATTTCAACGTCTGGATTTGTTTTTACCTCTATTTATTCACACAGTTCCCTAGTAAATCCTATTTCCCAGCCATAGAAACTGGTTTGACCTTGTTCGCACAACTACGCAGCACGTGACGCATGTTTGTGCATCTGCTGGCCCGAAACTGTGCAAGGATAGGCCTGTGCGCAACATGTCACTATTTCAACGTATGGGTTTGTTTTTACCTCTATTTCTTCACACAGTTCCCTAGTACATCCTATTTCCCAGCCATAGGTACTGGTTTGACCTTGTTCGCACAACTACGCAGCACGTGACGCATGTTTGTGCATCTGTTGGTCCGAAACTATGCAAGGATAGGCCTGCGCGCAACATGTCACTATTTCAAAGTCAAGTATTGTTTTTACCTCTATTTCTTCACACAGTTCCCTAGTACATCCTATTTCCTAGCCATAGGAACTGGTTTGAACTCGTTCGCACAACTACGCAGCTCGTGGCGCATGTTTGTGCGTTTGCTGGCCTGAATCTGTGCAAGGATAGGCCTGTGCGCAACATGTCACTGCGCCAACGTCTGAATGTCTTTTTTGCCACTATTTCTTCACACAGTTCTCTACTACATCCTATTCCCTAGCCATAGGAACTGATTTCATCTCGTTAGCACAACTACGCAGCTCGTGGCGCATGTTTGTGCATCCGCTGGCCTCAAACTGTCCAAGGATAGGCATGTGCGCAACATGTCACTATTTCAACGTCTGGGTGTTGTTTTTACCTCTATTTCTTCACACAGTTCCCTAGTACATCCTATTCCCTAGCCATAGGAACTGGTTTGACCTCGTTCGCACAACTACGCAGCTCGTGGCGCATGTTTGTGCGTTTGCTGGCCTGAATCTGTGCAAGGATAGGCCTGTGCGCAACATGTCACTATTTCAACGTCTGGGTTTGTTTTTACCTCTATTTCTTCACACAGTTCCCTAGTACATCCTATTTCCCAGCCTTAGGAACTGGTTTGACCTTGTTCGCACAACTACGCAGCACGTGACGCATGTTTGTGCATCTGCTGGCCCGAAACTGTGCAAGGATAGGCCTGTGCGCAACATGTCACTATTTCAACGTCTGGGTTTGTTTTTACCTCTATTTCTTCACACAGTTCCCTAGTACATCCTATTTCCCAGCCATAGGTACTGGTTTGACCTTGTTCGCACAACTACGCAGCACGTGACGCATGTTTGTGCATCTGCTGGTCCGAAACTATGCAAGGATAGGCCTGTGCGCAACATGTCACTATTTCATCGTCTGATGTTGTTTTTACCTCTATTTCTTCACACAGTTCCCTAGTACATCCTATTTCCTAGCCATAGGAACTGGTTTGAATTCGTTCGCACAACTACGCAGCTCGTGGCGCATGTTTGTGCGTTTGCTGGCCTGAATCTGTGCAAGGATAGGCCTGTGCGCAACATGTCACTATTTCAACGTCTGGATTTGTTTTTACCTCTATTTATTCACACAGTTCCCTAGTAAATCCTATTTCCCAGCCATAGAAACTGGTTTGACCTTGTTCGCACAACTACGCAGCACGTGACGCATGTTTGTGCATCTGCTGGCCCGAAACTGTGCAAGGATAGGCCTGTGCGCAACATGTCACTATTTCAACGTATGGGTTTGTTTTTACCTCTATTTCTTCACACAGTTCCCTAGTACATCCTATTTCCCAGCCATAGGTACTGGTTTGACCTTGTTCGCACAACTACGCAGCACGTGACGCATGTTTGTGCATCTGTTGGTCCGAAACTATGCAAGGATAGGCCTGCGCGCAACATGTCACTATTTCAACGTCAAGTATTGTTTTTACCTCTATTTCTTCACACAGTTCCCTAGTACATCCTATTTCCTAGCCATAGGAACTGGTTTGAACTCGTTCGCACAACTACGCAGCTCGTGGCGCATGTTTGTGCGTTTGCTGGCCTGAATCTGTGCAAGGATAGGCCTGTGCGCAACATGTCACTGCGCCAACGTCTGAATGTCTTTTTTGCCACTATTTCTTCACACAGTTCTCTACTACATCCTATTCCCTAGCCATAGGAACTGATTTCATCTCGTTAGCACAACTACGCAGCTCGTGGCGCATGTTTGTGCATCCGCTGGCCTCAAACTGTCCAAGGATAGGCATGTGCGCAACATGTCACTATTTCAACGTCTGGTGTTGTTTGTACCTCTATTTCTTCACACAGTTCCCTAGTACATCCTATTCCCTAGCCATAGGAACTGGTTTGACCTCGTTCGCACAACTACGCAGCACGTGGTGGGCCCTTTTGACATCAGGTCGGAGTGAATTTAAATGACAGAGATTATTATAACAAGCATATAGATAGGCTTATACGATGGGAATGCACAGTTCTATTTACTATTCCTAACAACCATTGTGTGACTGGACCACAATTAATTGAAATTAAACTGGCAAATCATTGATTGACAAAAGGTATCAAGTGAGTTCAATAAACAACACGGTATACAGATTGCAAATATTAACTCAACAAATTGTACAGCATTCTACAAATGATTCACGAGGCTGGTTCGAAGCTCGGCTTAGAAAGGCTCGGGAGGTTCGGGTTGGCTAGCTGAAAAGCTACGTTCCGCAACTTCAAGCTCGAACCTTGGGCTGGTTCCGCGTCAGCTTCGAAACCTGCCCTCAACCTGCGCTCAACTTGCGCTCAACTTGCGGCAACGTACCGCGAACCTACGCTCGACTTACCCTAAACCTGCGCCATAGCAATGAGGTGCAAACGTAGGCTTTTCAGAACCTACGTCACACACCTCACCATTTTTGGGATGGTCATGAGGGGAGTACAAGTACTATGTCGACAGTAATCTTGTACCCCCTAAGGCTAAACCCACTACAGCCTAAGTAAACATTAACACATATGTTTTGACATGAACACCCATTCAGCAAGGCACAACCATACAGCAGGGCACAACCATACAGCAGGGCACAACCATGCCAGGCCTTGCGACGTGCAGCAGGGTCGGTGGATCGTGCAACTTCGAGCCAAGAAATCGAAGCCCACCATCAACTTCCTTCAATGCACAAAGCCCATCCAGCCCATCCAGCCAATCCAGCCCATCCAGCCTATCCAGCCCAGCCGGTTGAGCTTGCTGCGTTGCGGATCACATGTGAACACGGCCTGCTAGGCCGATTGGCCCAACAGGAACACGCTGGGCCAGTGATTTCAGCAGTTATTTTCGAGTCGACTGAAAATTACCTTACAGCCAGAGAGGAAGCGTTCGGCCCGTTGCTCCAGTAGGAGAACTTTGGGCTGTTGATACGGGCAGCGGAGTTGGTGTTTCTGGGGGGGGCCAACAACAGCACCCAGGTTTCGGACTGTGTAGTTGTTGACATGTGTGAAGAGCTGCAGTCCAAGGCTGTCGATTGGTTCCAGGCCAACACTTGAGAGTCTGAGGTGCCCGTATTTCAGCCCTGAAATCTCCGGGAAGTGTCCTTTTCCGAGCCTTTAAGCGTCCGGGAAAGCACCCAACCAAAAACTTAAATTCAGGGCAAACACTATATAACGAAAAATAATAAAGGCAGAGTTAATTTAAAACTGCTATCTACCTATCTACTTTCTCAACACTAATCCTTTCTTTAGTGGCAGGCTTGCGGCGCTTCTCCCCGTCGAAGATCTGGTATACACCTGCCCAGTCCATGTCGTAATCTAGCATTTTCACGGTAGGTTGGGATAGGATGAGATAGGATGGGATGGGATGGGATGGAAAGGGAAAACGGGAAGGGAGAGGTGGGGGGGGGGGGGGGGGGGGGGGGGGGGGGGGTGTGGGAAGGGCTGTGAAATTTTCCGGGTAAGGCCGGAAACTTCCGCGGGGAATCAGGGAAACCTTCCAAGAGGCCCCTGTAAGAATCAGGGGAAGGCCCAGCCCACGCCCGTTATCATTCCGGGCTGTACAAAAAATCAACCCTGAGAATCTGGACTTTGGGGCAAAGTCAGACCTTAATGTTCAGGGCATTAAGGCCATATGCCCTTGAATCGACAGCCCTGCTGCAGTCGCAGCAGAAGGGCGCAACTTAGCTATACGCATTCAGATTTTCTTTCAGTTTCATTTCCGTTTTAGGTTGTGCAGTTGCATCTAAGGGCGCATTCGCATCCCATGTCAGACACGAAGTTGGAGGTTCGGAAGACACAAGGTGACTCGGTTTGTGTCTTCCGAACATAAGGACGCGGTGAAAGTGCAAATATCGCCGGATCGTCTGCATATATTGATCCCCACAATCGAGTGGGCAGATCGATTGGCGCAACTTGGCGACCGCGACGTTGTAACGATCGCAGCTGAGAATTGACAGATCTCCCGCTATCGGTGATCAGTCGCATTCACAAACTGTACAGAAATTTGGCTTAAAAGCGTACTGTAGCATGGTTACAGCTGAGTAAATAGGGTAACTGAGCGGCACATCGATCGCGACTGACGATCGATCGTCTACTTTCAACACGTCCTAAATTAGCCTGAATGTTGAGTCGCGTCGTGTCTTCCGAGCATCGTGTCAGACCTCATGTCTGACACGGGATACGAATGTACCCTAAGATGTATTCCAAGCTTCCTAGTACAGTATATCCAATGTTTGACACTCCAGCTTGGGATATTCTGCAAGGCTGTGGTAGTTTTTTGTGCCAGAATTTCCTGGCAATGTGTGTTTATGACTGCTTTAAATATTTGCACTAACAATGCAATAGCATGGCTTCTTGTTAAAAGCTCTCTACACCATACTACTAATGATGCTACATCAAACACTGCAACGCAACACAAAGCCGTGATTCCGCACGGTTACATTGTTACAATACTGTACAGCACGCAGGGCCAGATGCGTTGGCATTTGATTTCTTGCCAGATTGGTGCATCCCCTCTTGAATCTGCTCCAGTATCTCTATAATGCGTGCAAAGGAAGGCCTTGCTGCTGGATCACCATTCCAGCAATCTGTTATCAACCTGGGGAATGGGGAGGAGAGGAAAAGGGAGGGGGGGGGGGGGGGGGAGGGGAAGAGGGGAGTGTGTGGAAGAATGAGGGCCAGCAGAAAGGGTACTGTGGAATGGGGAGGCGAGGAGAGGAGAGGGTGCGAGTGAGAAGATGAGTTGTGTAGACAGCCAAGGTAGGAAGGTGAGTAACGACAAGAATGTGGGGACTAGAGCAGCATAATCTAAACGCCTCTAAAAAGGCACGGACTGTGCCACCCATATGCGGGCGGCAGGGCACACCCACGTAGTACCCACATGCAGGAGGGCACACCCACAGAGTACCCAAATGCAGCAGGGCACACCCATGCAGCACTCACTCCTTCATCCCCACGGGATAGGTTCGTCTGGTGAAGATAGGAACAATGTCAGGCGGCCTTGCTGCTTCTGGTGCTGCCTCCCCCTCACTCCCTCTCCCATCAGCACCACCACCACCAGCAGCAGCACCACCACCAGCAGCACCATCACCATCAGCACCATCACCATCCGCACCACTACCACTCCCAACAATCTCCCTGTTCTCCACCGCCGCACTCCCCCCCTTAAAAAAACCCCCACCCCTCAAGCTCCCCCCTCCATGGTAACTCCCCCCTCCGCTGTGGTGGCTTCCCCCTGCCCCCCCCTCTGCTCCCCCCTCTGTGAAGCTGTGACCACTGCCGCTAAGTGCCAGCGGGAAAAGATTGCCCCCGTGGTTGGTCCCACCGGGTAGCAATTGGCGAATTCGATCATATCCTTCAAGCATCTGAGAAGCAGGTTTAAGTTTGAGTGGAGGGGGCGGGTTGGTTGGTGTATGAAGTTGCAAGTTAGATATGAGAACAAAAAGGGAAAGGAAAGACAGCACCCACTGACAAGTTGCGGGCTTCGGAAAATAGGTGCAAAGAAAACACCACAAGAAAATGATACTTAACTGGTGCACACTGTACCTCAACAATTATAAGACTCCAAATGAGCAACACTCTTAAATAAAAAACAAATTAGAAAAAAGCTTGGGTTTAAAGCAAACGAGCACCCCAAACAGAATGATTGCAATTGAGAACATACTGTCAAACAGAAAGGCTCCAAACGAGTGTACACTGTACCTCAAATAAAATGACTCCAAACGAGTATACATCGACACTCTTGTCATACTCCTGCTGTGCCAACAGCTCAGGTGCAGAATAAAGGCCTGCCATGCAGTGGCGGGCGGATGGGGGTGGGAAAAGGACACACGAGTGGAGAGCAGTTGAAAAACATCAAAAGACAAAAAGGAATATGTGAATATATTCCTCCTATTCTTTTCTCTCTTTTTCCAGGGGAAAAAAGCGCAAAAAAGGATATATTTAATGTTAGAAATTTTGAGAAACCGAGAAACGAGGAAAGAGAAAGGAGTGAAAGCAAACAACAGGGAAAAAAAAAAATAATGAGAAAAAAATTACACATGAGACTTGTAGGGGGTAGGAGAGGGAGGGAGGAGGGGCGGCGAGGAGATGGGAGGGAGGAGGGGCGGGGAGGAGATGGGAGGGAGGAGGGGCGGGGAGGAGATGGGAGAGGGATGGAAAGTTTCCAAAAAGGCTTCAATTGAAGGGTTGCAATTGGTGGAGGTTGCAAATGGTGAAGGTTGCAAATGGTGAAGGTTGCAAATGGTGAAGGTTGCTTACGGTGGCTGTGCTTTGAGAAAGTAAGACGGCGAGAGAAGTTGGGCTGGAAGAGAGAGACAATGTTCGTGCTTCCCATGCCCATGCCCATGCCCAAGCCTAGGCCCGAGGCTGTGGGCATGGAGGGAGTAGTCGGAGCAGCAGCAGTGGCTCGGATGCTTGCCAGGCCGAAATCCGCCACCTTGAGATGCCCTGAATCGTCCCGTAGGAGATTACTGTCAGTGTGTGGGGGGGTGAAGGGGGGAAGGGAGATGGACAAAGGAGGGAGTGGTGAGGCAGCAGCAGCAGTGGCGCAGATGCTTGCGCGGCCGAAATTCGCCACCTTGAGATGGCCTGAGTCGTCCCGCAGGAGATTGCTGTGAAGGGCCGAGGAAAACGAGGAAGGGGGGAAGCGACGTGGAAAGGGGAGGAAAGGGGGGAAGGGGGGAAGGGGGGAAGGGGGGAAGGGGGGAAGGGGGGAAGGGGGGAAAGGGGGGGAAGGGAGAATAAGGAGAGACTGAAATCCGCCACCTTGAAATGGCCTGAGTTGCCCCGCAGGAGATTGCTGTTAAGGGGCGGTGGAAAGGGGGGAAAGGGAAACGGGCAGGGGGAAAGCGAAACAGGAAAGGGAGGAAATGGGGGAAGGGAGAATAAGGAGAGACTGACATCCGCCACCTTGAGATGCCCTGAGCCGTCCCGGAGGAGATTGCTGTCAGTGACGTGGGTGAAAAAGGGAAAGGGAGACGAGGGGAAAGGGAGAAACGGGGGAGGCGGGGAGGGGAAAGGTGAGGGAAGGGGAAGGGATAACACGGAGAGGCAAAAATCCGCCATCTTGAGATGGCTTTTGAGAAATCTCAAAAACCAGCTCGTATCATCTTGAGATGGCCTGAGCCGTCCCGGAGGAGGCTGCTGGTCGCATGGGTGGTGGTGGTTAGGGTATGGGAAGGGGAGTCGGATTTGGGAGGGGGAGAGGGGAACAGCAGACATGACTAGATGAGATCCTGGGTTGCCTCGAGAATAGTTCACACCCTCCCTCACCCCCTCGCTCCCTCACTCACTCCCTCACTCACTCACTGACTCACCCATCCCTTACTCACTCACTCTCCCCTCCCCTCCACTCACTCATATCCACTCCCCTCCCCCCCCCGCCCCCAACTCACCCCCCAATGAATACCTGGGTGTCAAGTCGCGGTGAATGACTGGGTCTGGCCGGTGCGCGTGCAGATAGCACATGCCCCTGACAGGGGGAGATGGGGGAGATGGGGGAGATGGGAGGGGGGAAATGGGAGGGGGGAAATGGGAGGGGAGGAGAGGGAAGGAGGGAAGAGGTGTACAAAGGAGGGGAGGGTGAGACGAGGATAATGGGAGGAAGGAAAGTCTGAAAGGGGAGGAGGGAAAAGGAGTGCAGAGGAGGGGAGGGTGAATGAAGAGTGCGAGAGAGAAGAAAGTTGTTGGGCAGGGGGTTGCATTGCATGGATGGGGTGACTTTTGAGTCAACTCAAAAGTCATCTTGTTGGGCAGGGGGTTGCATTGCATGGATGGGGTGACTTTTGAGTCAACTCAAAAGTCATCTTGTTGGGCAGGGGGTTGCATTGCATGGATGGGGTTGCATTGCATGGATGGGGTGTGGTGGAGAGAGGAGGGAAAGCAACAGACAGCACGAGAGATAGCAGAAAGCCAAGCGCATAGCGCGGTGCATCTGAGTCAACCCAAAACCGAAGGGGTGCCTGCCTGGCAACATCGACGACGCACCCACCTGGCAACGTCAAGGGCATAGCGCAGCGCTTCATGGGCAGGCAGAGCGCCTTTTTTGCGAATCACGTCCCTCAGATTCACCTGTCAGGCGGAGAGGATGGGGGAATGGCGCATGGGGGAAGGGGGCAAGGGGGAAGGGTGCATGCGGGAAGGGGCGGATGGGGTAAGGGGTGGGTGGATGGGGCGGATGGGGCGGATGGGGGGAAGGGGTGGATGGGGGAAGGGGTGGATGGGGGAAGGGGTGGATGGGGGAAGGGGCGGATGGGGGAAGGGGTGGATGGGGGAAGGGGCGGATGGGGGAAGGGGTGGATGGGGGAAGGGGGGATGGGGGAAGGGGCGGATGGGGGAAGGGGTGGATGGGGGAAGGGGCGGATGGGGGAAGGGGCGGATGGGGGAAGGGGTGGATGGGGGAAGGGGTGGACGGGGGAAGGGGCGGATGGGGGAAGGGGTGGATGGGACAGGCAGAGCGCCATTGCTGCAAATGATGTCCCACAGCTTCATCTGACAGGGTTGAGCACAGGGGAGGGGAGAGCATACAAGGTGCGATATCTCTTTGTTTCTCTCTCTGTTCTTCTTATCCTTTGTCAACTTAATGCAAGCACACCCACGTCACGTCACCTTGAGGTACTCTGTGACGATCATGCGCGGGCGGGACTTGGTGACGGCTCCTAAGAATTGCACGATGTTGGGGTGCCGCAGCGATTGCAGAATTCGGAGCTCCTGCCTGAACTCGTTGCTGCGACCACGAGGGGTTGGGCAGGGGGTGGCGAGGCGAGCAGGGGGGGCGGGCAGGGGGCGCGCAGGGGGGGCGGGCAGGGGGCGCGCAGGGGGGCGAGCAGGGGGGCCGGGCAGGGGGCGGGCAGGGGGCGGGCAGAGGGCGGGCAGAGGTGGGAGGACGGGCTTGTGAGTGATTGCATGAGTCACAATGCTGAGGTGGCGCAGAGATTGCAGTATCCGCAGCTCTTGCCTGAACTCGATGCTGCGAGCACTGGGATGGGGATGAGGGGAACGAGGAGATGGGCGGGAGGGGAGGTTGTTGTCGCTGGGATGGATTGGGCAACAAGGGAAACGGAGGGTGGCGTATTGAGAATCTTTGAGAGGAATAAACAGGCCAGGGGTATAAGAGGGAGGGGCAGAGCATACAATCTGCCTTATATAGAGCAGGTATTAGCAAGACTGGTGTGCGCCACGCCTTACAGGGCGGCAGGGTCGGCCGCGTATTCATCTCGCAGCACCTTGACAGCAATGGGCGTGCCCCTCCAACTCGCAAGGCGCACCTCCCCAAACGAACCCTGGCATGTGGAGTGGGGAGCAAGCAAGGGGGAGCAGGCGAAGGGGAGCAGAGGAAAGGGAAGGGGAGGAGGGAAAGGGGAGAAGGGGAAGGAGAGTAGGGGAATAAAAGGAGGGGTATTTTTTTTTAAGCACCTTCACAGCGAAGCGTGTGCCTACCCAACTCGCCAATCGCACCTCACTCTCTCTCTGCCTGCCCCCTTCTCTCCTCTCGGCCCTACCCCCCTGTTCATCCTCCTCCTCACATCGCCCCCTTCCAGCATCCCCTCTCCCTGATGCTCACGCTGCACCCCCCTCCCCTTCCTCACCTCGCCCGTCCCTCTTGCCCGCACTCCGCTTGCTCACCTTGTGGTAAAAGAGGTGTGTTTTGAGACGTCTAAAACACTTGTTTTATCGCGTCATCTTGTCATGTCACTGCCAATGACCTTGGACGCCCCCAGGTCGATCTCATCTCACTGCCATCGTGTTGGCAGATCAACATGTTTCGGCTAAAGGAGCATCCCAAGCTCATCTCACTGCCATCGTGTTGGTTGCAGGAGGTGACTATCTGACACACGTGCCCCCCATTCCCCCCCCTTCACACCCCCCTCTTTTCCCCTGCTCATCCCCCCATACACCCCCCCACCCCCCCTCCTCCCACTCCCCTCCCACGCACCTCGCCAATGACCTTGGAGGTGCCCAGGTCCATCTCACTGCCATCGATCTCGTAGTCGTGCTGGTTGAACGAATGAGCTGACCACCTGCCACACGTGCTCCCCATGTGTCCCCATCCCCCAATCCCCCCCCCCCTCTTTCCTACGCACCTCGCCAATGACCTTGGAAGTGCCCAGGTTGATCTCACTGCCATCGATCTCGTAGTCTTGCTGGTTGAACGAGCTCGCCCCTGCATTGCGTATGCGCGCACTCTGACGCGAGGAGGAAGGGGGGGAATGGGAGGGGGGGAATGGAAGGGGAAGGGGAGGAGAAAGAATGCGGGGGAGAGAGGGGGGGAAGGGAGCGCGGAGGGAGAGGAGGGGGAATGCGGAGTGGAGGAGGGGAGGGGATTGGGAGGGGGGGGGGGGGGGGGGTGTTACGATCTATCGCACTGCCATCAATCACGATGTATAAGTTACTGGAAACGAAAGAGAGAACAGTATGGGCTTAGGGCTTTCCATGGAAGAGTGTTTAGCGACAGAGGGCGGAGGAGGAGGCAGGTAGCGGAGAAGGGGGGAGGGTGGGGGGCGGGAAGGAGAGAGGGGGCGGGTGTGGGTTGGGGGGTCGTTGGTCAGTGGATAGAAAATCAGAGAACACGTAGAATGAAGAGTGCATGGAGGATAGGAGGTGGGAACGAGCAGGGAGAAGGAGGGGCAGAGGGAGGGGCAGAGGAACAATGGGGCAGGGGGGCACAGGGGCATGGGGACAAGGGGAGCAGGGGGGGAGGGGGTCAGGGGGGCAACGGAGCAAAGGGGCGGGAGACGAAAGAACGCATTGAACGCTGATTGGATCACTTCCCCCCCTCCCCCCACCCACTATCCCCCCAACTCCCCTTTCCTCTACATTCCCCCGCCCCCTCTCTTCCCCCCGGATTCCCCTTTCCTCAAGATTCCCCCGCCTCCCCACCCGCGCACCTCGCAGAGCATGCCCCCTTTCTCCTTGAGCAGGCGGCAGATCTCCCCGGATCCGTACGACTGCGCGTCCGCCAAAGGCTGCCCAGGGGGGGCGGGAGGTGGGAGGGAGAGGGGGGGCAATGGCCACCATGCCATGCCGTGCCATGCCATGCCATGCCATGCCGTGCCATGCCATGCCATGCCGTGCCATGCCATGCCATGCCATGCCATGCCAAGCCATCCCATCCCATCCCATGCCATGCCATGACATGACATGCGATGCCATGCCATGCCATCCCATGCCATGCCATCCCATGCCATGCCATGCCATGCCATGCCAAGCCTAGCCAAGCCATCCCATCCCATGCCATGCCAAGCCATCCCATCCCATTCCATTCCATTCCATGCCATGCCAGGCCATGCCATGCCATGCCATGCCATGCCATCCCATGCCATCCCATGCAACCATGCTATCCCATCCCATGCCATGCCGTGCTATGTCACGCCATGCCATGCCATGCCATTCCATTCCATTCCGTGCCATGCCATGCCATGCCATGCCATGCCATGCAAGAACAATAATATTGTCATGTCACACAACCAGGAAACGTGACTTCACGACGATGCAATTCCGTTCACTAGGTAACAAGTGAAGCCACTACGATGAGGGGGGGGGGAGGGAAGGGGGGGGAACGAACCCATCAAGAGCAATGCCTTACCATGCGCCACTCACCGTGCTACACCCCCTCACCGTGCTGCACCCCCTCTCACCGGTTGCACACCCTCTCACCATGCTCCACCTCCCCACACCGTGCTGAATCCCCGCTCACCATGCTTCACCCCCTCTCACCGTGCTTCAACCCCTCTCACCGTGCTTCAACCCCTCTCACCGTGTTGCCATGGCGGTCTTTCGGATTCACATCCGCGCCTCGCTCCAGCAGCACCCGCACCACATCCACCTTCCCCTCGCTCGCCGCCAGATGCAGCGCCGTTCGCCCGTCGTAGTCCGCCAAATCCGGACTCACGCCGCGATCCAATAGGTCTATAACCCCCTCGATTATACCGCGGCTCGCGAGGAACAGCAGTTGACCTGTGGCGTCTACCAACTCGCGGTGCCGCGCTGACGTGTTCGCCGCGTCTTGGCCGTTGCAAGCGTCTGTGATTGGCCCTTTCGGAGCGAGAATCGCGGCATTGCTAGAACTACTACTAGGCGCAGTGGTAACAGGTTGAGCTGGATCTAGACGTTCTTCGCCGCTAAGGTTTCTCGCTTCATCTCGATCGCCAGGGTTACCAGCTTGATCTTTATCGCCGACGCTACTACTACCTTGACCTTGAATTCTGTCAGTCCCTGGTGGTAACTCAGTCGCAGAAGCTTCCAACGATTCCGCCAATGCTACCGCGGGTGGCGGAGTCGCCGCTTCCGTTAATCGGGGGAATTCGTCAGTTTCCGCCGCGTGACGGGGTTCCCCCATCTCCACGGCTTGCGCAGACTCCGCTGTTGCTGCTATCGTTTCCGCAAAAGCATCCGCGACTCGAATTTTTGCAGCAGAAGTATCTGCGACTGACATTTCGCCTGGAGGTGTCGGTCTGTGCTCTGGCTGTTTTAGGGTTTCCCGTTCAAACGCGGATACGTAATTACCAGCGCTACTTTCGCGAAGCGTCGCATCGTCTAGTGAGATTCCGGTGCTGAGTATTTTCGCGGTTTCCGTGTCAGGTAAGCTAAGATTCTTGGACAGTTGGTCGAGCCGCCCGACGCGTGATCGCTCCCGTTTGATGTATGTATATAGATAATGAAGGCTAACGCAAACGGGGTATCAAGCTAAACTCTCTACATCGAGAACAGCAGGACGGAACGTAGCGGTACTTCTCGACATGAAAACGACGGTAAGAGCTTCTACGGACTACCATTAGAGGCAGCTAGCAGCAATCAGGGAGGATCCCTTCAGTACCTCGACTAAATGAAGGTCAAACATCTAAGGGCGCGTGTCTTTTGAATTTTACTACACAGTTCATGTTTTTTAGTCGAATTTTTACGTTTGAACCTAGGTCGACCTGTACTCGGGTATCTAGGCTTTTGGACCCGAATCGAGAAATATCTTCGCACAAAAATCACATGGAACACCAAAGTTCAACTTTATACACTAAGGGTACATTCGTATCCCGTGTCAGACATCAAGTCATCAGCCCTTAGGGTACATTCGTATCCCGTGTCAGACACAAGGCTAGACACGAAGTTGAGGTTCGGAAACCCCGAAGTGGCTCGTTTGTGGGGCGATTGAAGGTTAGGAAGAGACAAATTGGAGACTAAGGGCTGATGACTTGATGTCTGACACGGGATACGAATGTACCCTTAGTCTCCAATTTGTCTCTTCCTAACGAAGCACGTTAGCAGCGACGACCGCTCAAGGCAGTTGCGGACCCAGACGGCCTGCCGCAGAGCAAGGTGCCACCAGTGGTGCTGCACGCCCATGTGTAGCAGCATCGTTCGCACCGACTCCACCACCGTCCGCATCTCTCGCTCCGCCATGCCATTCTGCTGCGGGGTGTACGGGCAGGTCAGGTCGTGGACGATTCCCTTGCCGTCCACGAAGGCGGTGAAGTCCTTCCCAAGAAACTCCCCTCCTCGGTCAGTTCGCAGCTGCAGCATCGACTTCTTTGCCTGCCGCTCAACCAACACCAGCCACTGCGCGAACTCCCGCAGTACGTCGGACTTCCTGGCGACCGACTTCACCCACACGTAGCGGGTCTTACGGTCCTTCAGCAGCAGGAAGTACAAGCTGCCATCCTTGGCGGCCACACGAAACGGCCCGCACAGGTCGATGTGCACGACGGCCAGGGCGTCCTCGGCGTCCGAGCCCTTGTCGGGGAAGGAGTGCCGCGCCAGCTTCCCGCCGACGCACGAGACGCAGGGCGAAGTGGCGCCGGACGCCGACTTGAGGTCCAGCCCGGTGGCTACCTCGTGCTTCGCCGAGCTCCGGATGGTGTCCATGCCGACGTGTGCAAGCCTCGCGTGCAGCTTGTCCGGCGTCGCCTTCGTCGCCGAGACGATTGCCCGCAGGGCCACTTCCTCCGCCGCAGTCGTCGCCGGGCAAGGACGCAGGTCGGTGCAGAGGACCCGGCCGGAGTACGTTGCTCGACCGAGCACGTCGCCCGTCGCCGAGACGAGCAGCATGCCGTCGCCGTCCTCCTTCAGCTTCACGCCGTTCTCCTTCAGCTGACCGGCCGACAGCAGGTTCGCGTGCACGCCCGGGACGTACAGCACGTCGGGGATGAGCACACGCTTCCCGGCCTCCCCTTGCAGCGCAACCGTGCCCCGTCCCTTGACGTCCTGCAGCGCCCCATTGAAGTCGCGCACGTGTTTAACGTCGCCGCTCGGCCCAATGTCAACAAAGGCGTCCTTCGTTCCCTTCAGGTGGTGCGAGCAGTCGCTCTCCAGCAGGACCACCGCCGGGTTCGCCTGCACGGCTGCTGCCACCGCCTGGAAATCCTCACCGGCCTCCGGCGCCAGTGAGATGGACGGCTCCATGACGCCGACCAGCGAGCACGACGCCTCCCCGTCGCCTCGCCCCTTGCCGCTAGCAGAGGAGTCGGTGTCCTTCGCCGTGGTCGACTTCGACTGCTTCTCCTTGCGCGGCTGGTTTCCTCGACGTGGACGACGGCTGGCCGACCTCCCGCGGCCTCCCTTGGCGTCGTCGTCGTCGGACTCGCTGCAGTCGGTACACTCAAAGGAGAGGTGATCGGGGCTGCGGCAGATCCAGCACTTTCGACGCCGACCTCCTCCTCCGTGACCGCCTTCCTTCGCCGACTTACCCTTGTCGGCGTCCTTGGCCGGCTTCCCACCTCCGCTACCACCGCTGCCAGGCTTGCCGCGCTGCCCTGATCGGCTACCTTGCTTCGCCGGGGCGGCGTAGTTTGCCTGCAGCAAAAGCTTTGAGGGCTTCTCGGCCTCCTGCATCGCCTCGTCCTGCAGGATGTACGAGGTCAGGGAGTCCTCGTTCAGTGTTGCCCGCGTGCTCGGCACCATCGACAGCCGCTTCAGCAGGTTGTAGCTGCTTGGGAGTCCCTTCAGGACGTGCGTGACGTACGACGCCGTGGAGTACTGCACGCCGGACATCCTTATGGTGGTGAGGAGTCGCCGAGCCCGGCTGCAGTAATCGGTCGCAGTCTCCTGGTCGCCCATCCGCAGATGCGTCATCTGCTCCTCGAGCTGGCCGATGTACAGGTCGTCGGTGACCTGGTACGTCGACTCGATGAAGTGCCACGCCTGGTGGCCGGCGTCCAGGTAGTCCCTACACGGCTTCAAGGCGATCTGCACGCCCGGCGAGCAGCACCGCGAAATGACCGTGAAGGTCAGCAGCTGCACAACGCGAAACTCCGCACGCAGGTCGGGGTAGTTCTCCTCCGGCGTCGCCACAGTGCCGCGGGCGAAGCCAATCAGCCTGGCCATCTCCAGCTGGGGCTCGATGGCTTCCTTCCATGTGAGAATGTCGGGTCGACCGACCAGCAGGGGGGTGACCGAGATCCTGTCCGGCGTAAACTTGAAGTAGCTGTAGCTAGGCGCAATCCCTCCCGTCGTCACGTGTGTCGCCGACATCGGCGCCAATCCACTTCGTCGGCCTCCGACGTCGCCCTGCGAGGCCCCTGCAGCCGCCGACGACTGCATCCCTCGCGCCTGAACGCCGCCGACTTCATCGGCATGAATCACACCTCTCTGCCTCGACGTGCCTCCCGCACTGCTGCCGACTTGGTCACCGGCGTTGACGCCCATGTTGACGCCGCTAGCGTTGTTCACCAGTCGAGGTGACGTTGGTCGGGAAGGGTGCTCCGTCGCCCACACGGCGCGGATGCCAGCCTCGACGACCGCCAGCGGGAGAGTCCCGTTCTTGTTCGCCGCATGGCGTCTCCTCGCATCCTCCAGCCGTGCCTCCAGGGTGTCCACGACGCCCGCCTCAACTACGGGGTCCACCATGGCGTCCAAGCACGACCGCCGGTCTACGAACTAGCTAGGTGAGTGCGAAGTCGGCTAAACTGAGGGTGACGTCGCGTGTTTGTTCCACGCTCACCGCACCATGCAGAGATAACTCTAACAACGGGAGCTTGACTGCGGGAAAGGCACGCGTGTGAGAGGGATCTCAGTGTTCGTTCGTCCCTTTGTCGTTTCCTTGTGCGCACACTGCTTGCTAGTTCACGGGGAAAATTGGCAAGAGTTCCACTAGGAAAACATAGCAACAAAGGTTCAGAGTGATAGTAGCAACATAGGCAACACAGACTACATCAGAGCTAGCTAGGCTGCTGGTCGACCTCCAGCGCAGCACGGTCGACCGCGTTCCAGCGCAGCAATGCTCGCATCGCTCCAGCGCTGCAGAGATGCGGTGCGCCAGCGTTGCATGTCCACGGTGTGCCAACGCTGCAGCAAGTCGGCTGCACAGCGTTGCACCCGTAGGACAACGGTGCACCTGCTTCGCAAGTGTGCGCGGCTGGTTGGCGTCCAACACCCCGTCACGTGCCCAGCGCAGTCATTCCGCCCGTGACGATGCCCACCTGGCACGTCGACCTTGGGATACCACCCCCGAGGTCGTCCTCGCAGAAACCACCCCCGGCGACCTTCGCACATGTCGCCCGGGTATCCCGGTCGACCGGGCAACCCCGCCTGGTCGTCCAGCCCAGTCGGTCGCCAGCTACGCCAAGCTCGGCGTCCTGGCGTCCAGGTCGGCGTCCACTCGCCCAGGACGCCGTCCACGTGCCCAATTCGGCGTCCAGGCGCCCGGGACGCCGAGCAAGCGCCCAGGTCGGCGTCCAGCCTCCCAGGACGCCGAGCAGACGCCCAGGACGGCGTCCAGGCGCCCAAGACGCCTAGGAGACGCCCAGGACGGCGTCTACCTGCTCGGCGCCCTCCAGCCAGGCGCCCGCAACTCAACGCCCTTGCACTGACCTCCGTGCCCACTGCTGCAGGTCGGCTGCGTCCCCCTGCACACCCGACCACGAGGTCGGCTCCGCCCAAGCGAGGACGGGGCCAAACACTACTCCCGTTGGCAGTTTTCCCGCAACTTTTTCACAAGAAAAGCTAACGTGCACAAACTTCTTTGCTTAGTAAGAAAACATCATATGCACTAGCATCAAGAGCATTTGCTATGGGACGGTTGCAGGGCTCACGGCCAAACAGCTGATCCAGATCAACAGACACTGCTTAAAAAAACAACTACTGGGGGGCGCGGGTAGTAGCTTGCTGAGTTGCTCACATACTCAGTAGACGTTCCCTCACTAACGGGTCTCAGATGGACCCTCTTCGGCGCACATGGCCAGCGTCCATCCAGGAAGCCATCCTCGTCAAAGAAGTTGCTCGAAATCTCGCATTCAGTCACTAGCGATTCGTGGGAGCTGAATAGAAAAGACAGCAACATTAAGGGCGTCGGCGTGAGAGCCGCCGACTCTCCGCAGCCAGTGACAGCGGCGCTTTGGGGAAAGAGTGTCGTTGCAATCCCCGCATTATTTGCATTCGACAGCAAGTTGGACTGAACGGAGCCAGATTCAGATGAGGAAGACGCATTGGCGCTTCCAACCTTGATAG